TGATTGAGAGTTCTTGTGTCCTCACGTATAGATCATGTGTTGCCATTGTGATGGCATTCTGTACATAGTTGGTGAATTCCACCGGCATCGCTATGCCTTGTGGTTGTGGTCCCTGAGGTCCTTGTTCTTGGGGTTCTTGGGGGGTTCTCAGGTCCCATTTCTGTCTCGTTGACTTCAGCCATAGTGCCAGGTGCGTTCTGGAATCCGATTCACTAATGACTGTTGAAGAGCGAGTCGTAACGGCTCTTCCGGATAGGAAAGATGGTGAAAGGGGAGAGGGAAAAAGGATACGTAAATGGAAAGCTAAAGGGGTCCCCAGTACTAACTGGATCAACCTCGTCCTTTAGGGTCAAAGGGTTCTTTAATCAACCCGACTGACACTTCCCTAATTACTAACTAGAAAGGAGTACGTAAAGCTATGCTTTGTTAAGTGGGAAAAACACTGTGTGCTTCGTGTGTGCTACTTCTCAGTCACCGAAAGGGTACAGGTCTAGGACAAGTTATCACTCTTCCAGCCGAAGCTTACAAGTGCGAGTCTCACTAGAATCCCGTATCTAAATCCTCGTGGTAACGATGGTAGGACTATCCGCAGATGCGACAGTTCCACTAGACTTAACGAAAGGTTCTACGTGCGTATGAAGAAAGGATGTAGGTATGAAAGCAACTATAGTAACAGTTGAGCAGGCAGGGTCTTGGGCCAGCACTCAAAGTTGTAGCGAGACGCCTAATGTCGTCAACACCTCCGTATACTGGCGGCTGCAATGTAAGGCAGGGCCTGGTATAGGACTACTAACTAATAAAGGCTATTCGTGAAAAGCTCAAGCGAGCAAAAGGATGGGTTTCAGAAAAAGTGATCGCGACTGTTTAGGTCGGGCAATGGAAACGTGTAATGATGATGAAGATGTGCGAGCGGTGTGCAAAGAGTCGGAGTCTCCTATAGTTCAAACCTAATGTCACAACCCAATAACGAATTAACGCTGGGTCGAAGACTAGGACTCAAACTGAGGTTATCGGACAAGAGAGGAGAGGAGCAAGTACGTCTTGGATTGCTACAATGTAGATACAAGAGGTTTGAACTAAGGAACTATCGACCAAGACATGCTACCTATATACAACTATTGAAACGGAGATTGAAACTGAGTTATAATTACTAGCCAATCATAAAAGGAGAAAAGGAATCGTACCATAGAACATCGTAGAATATTAAAGAAGCATCACGTGACCATATCTTATCTTATCGTATCTAATCTAATCTATTCACAATCAAAGAACTCGTCTTCTTCATCAGTCACATCGAAGACACGTGTCGTGGGCGCTAAAGGTATTTCTGGAATGATAGACGCTTTCAGGGTAGGGTTAGGGTTTGACTTAGGCGTTTTAGGAAGATTCAGGAAAGAATAATGGTTTGTTAAAGGTACTCGTGACACTCATGTCCATCGAACCTAGTGTGTTGCATAGAATGATGATGGATGGGGATGAGAGCAGTTCGTGTGCCCAAAAATTGCGAAATCAACTTACCGGTCGAGAAACTCCAGTGCGATCACCGAGCACTGGTGGTACTTCATCGCAAAAAACTTCTTGTTCTTCCCGCGGATCCACTCAGGCGGCCAATCTCAAAGTGGAAGTAGCAATCCGTGCTCGGGGTCACCATCTGTCCAGTGCTTCACAATCTGTCTCCAAGAGGCAGCTCTAGGAGTGTGGCTCCCATCAGGGTGTCATGTTGGAATATCAGGGATGACGAGTCCCTTCTCAGGTAGTACCAGTGAGTGGGAACCAACTTGAACAGTGGCGCCGTCTGTGATTCAAGTGAGTGCAGAGGGCTGTGGAAGAGTGGAGGTGGGAATAGTGGGGCAGCATGGCTGAGACTCAGAGCTGGGTAACTGGGATGAGTGATGGGGTGCAGGGGGGGTTGCCTGGATTTGACGGTGGAGTTGACGAGTGCAGCGGAGCATTGCACATGCCTGTGCTGCTGGGTGAGTCGGGCATGTTAGTCAGCTGCCCATTGTAGAGCGTGGCTGCGAGGGTGTGTAAGTCACTCCGCAAACCTGCAACATCAGCTGAGATGCAGTCATGCATTGACTGCAGGTCTTGGATGCAAATGGGCTTGACAAGCAAGTGCTCTCCAAGCAGAGATGCATCAGCTTCACGCTGTGTTGGACAGAGGGCATCACTATGGTCGTTTTCATAGGTGGAGAGTTCGTCAAGGAGATACCGGATGAGTGTGTCACGCTAAAAGTAATTCGTTCAGAAACAGAAAATTTCGAATCAATCTAAGACTCACATTCTCATTCTCTGCCCATGAACCCCACCACCTGACCCTTGCGAGAGTCCAGCACTGACCAATAGGTGCAAACATCCAATGCCACTGTGCACCACCACGTCGATAGGTGTGGGTCGTGAAGTTGTCACCTGCACCTCGTGGGATTCCTGCTTCTGTGGTTGCCTCATTGATCCATGCTTGAACAGTGTCGTGCGAGATAGGTTCACCACAGTGGACAATGCCATTTGCACCTATTGCAGGAAAGATGTAGTCTTCAGGCTCGAGTTTTCGACCATAGTAGGCAACTTCAAGAAAAGTAAGCCAGAGTAAGAGCCAGAAGAAGCAGTCACAGCCTGGTAGGTCTGGCTGTGGGTAGAGCTTGTACCGGTTGCCTGATGATGAGGGCAGCAGGAGGTTAATGTTCGAGTTATGACAAACAACTGGTGTGACTAGGCACTCACTTCGTAGGTCTGGTTCCTTCGTGCCCTTGTCGACTCTCCGCTGCCAGCCTTTTCAGTTGGACAAAAACACCTCAAAATATGTGTGGAGGTCCTTCGAGCACAGTTTCTCACCATTAAGATATCTTGTGAATGTTGTGCCGACTTGGAAAAAATCGATGGTCAAGTCTTTCCGTTTCAGTTTGATAAGCTCGAAGCACCTGCCACAGGTTGCTTCAAAAATTAGCAAACAGTCTGTATTGAGTGAGCTGACCTTGTCCACAGGTTCCAGGCTGTTGTACTAAATGCTTGGTACATTGTCATCTTTGTGAGCAATTCACGTGATTCCAGTGTGAGGAGTTCTGTGTCCGTCGTATCTGCTGCCAGAACTGACCTCATAAGCCCAAGGAATGTCTCCGGCAGGCAGAGCGTGTGGGTCCAGGCCAGGATTCGATCCATGAATCCTTTTGACATCGCAATTGAGTGAGTTCTGTTCCCACCCTCACTGCTGGTCTTGTGCTTGACAGACTTGATGATGTCCTGAACCTCAGCTGACGACGCAGGGTTTCCTTCCCAGCACAGGTGTGCCTCATTGAAATGCCACCTCCCACAGTAGGTATCTCCATCCCTAGATGGCACATTCCGTCAAAAATCATAGGTATGAGACTCACTGACACAAATATGGCACTCACGCTTCCTCCCAGAACTTTTTGAAGGCTGAGTAGGTCCCATCACACGTGCTCTGGCCACAGTTCTCATGGAAACACTTGAAGGTGATGAGGAGTGTGAGGGCCTTGTCAGAATGTTGGTTGGGAATCCTCTCAAGAGCATCTCTGAATGTGGGGTCCTCATAGGCATCAGTACTGATAGACATTGTCTCTGAATCCATACTTGCCACGGCACCCCTGCTTGTAGCAAAATGTGCCTTCAGCCACATCTGTCCTCGTTCCACATACCCATTGTAGTTCTCGTGCATCTTCTTTGCATGCTTGTGCTGTTGCTTGGCCCTTTCCTTGACTTTGTTGATGGCTGGCAGGGTGGTATTTCCCGTGGGCACTGCTCCCTTCCGTTGCTTCCTTGGGCTGGCCTCTGCAGCATGAGGGGCAGGAGGCCCTTTGCATGATTTCGGCTTGGTCCTCACCATGGCTGGCAAACCACAGAGAGTGCACCACATTTCCAGCCAGAAAATGCTGTCCAACAGTCAGTTCAAGCTTTCGGAGGTTAAAAAGTGTGTGAGGAGGCTCACAGATGAACTAAGTCAAGCTTTTGGGTGGTTAAGGCGAGTTAAGCAGGAGTTAAGTGCAGGACCACCCAAAGTTGGTCGTAAATCTGGTAAATCTGTCGTAAACCCGTAAATCAGTAAATCTGAGGACCCACCGGCAAAGCGGACCTTTCACTTCAGTGCTAGTAAGCTCAAGTGATCCATAAATCAACCGAAGTATCTCAGTCTGAAAACATGCTCACTATTATATTCAAACAGACTACTAATATTATCCACTGCGCCGTGGTACCGTTGCACCTGTTCGACAATCAGTCTTTCGACGTTGAAGGACGACAAGGGACGACTCGGACAACGAGGCAGAAACCCGGCGGGATGGGCGCGCTTAGTCAGCGGCGGCGGGCGCGACAGATTCCCATTTACAGTTTTTACCTGCCAAGTGTAAATTTTGTCAAATAATCTAACATAGTTATCAGTAATTAGTCTCATATCTAAGTTTGCACGAGAGGTTTTCCCTGATGAACACTGTTTTGCACACCTCATGGCGAAGTTAGGCGGCTACTTTGAGCCAGCCTACTGATTCATGGTTCATGACGCAGTCTTAGCTACTGTCGTTCTCGCCTGCACAACTAGCCACGCGGACCGCATGTTTAGCTTGAACCCGTCGATTTACCCCAACTGCCTTGCGAGGGAATCCGCCGGCTTTCTCCATGATAACTGCGCCGGCGCGGATAGGGTTGGAGGGTTGGAGAATATGGAACAAATCCTCATGGTGAGCACGTAACGTATAAGACATCAGCGAAAGTACCAAGATATCAAAATATAGTAGCCAACGCTCCACCGTCATCTTGACTCAAATCCAATGAACCAAGCAGTTTTCCTCCTGGACCATTCTTACCGAAGGTGAAGCCGACCCAGACACCTCGTGCTTCTGGCTCTTCCTTTTCCTTTACCTTCTCTACGTTTCGCTGCTTGTCTTTCACTTCAGCGTACTTGGCCATGTCTTCCGCAGAAGTGAAATCATCATAGTACCCAGTGTCAATCTCGGAGTCAAGAGCAGGCACAAACGGTGCGCGTGTTGAGCGGAGGTCCTCCCACTGCATCCCGTCAAAGAAAGGGTGGCTTGTGACCTGTGTGAGAGTGGAGTATCGAACGCTTGAGTGCGAGATGAGCCTGACCAGGAAACAAGAGGAAATCAGCTTCGTCAGACAGCGTGCAGTAGCAAGCCCTGTACCTGGTCACAGCATCCCATGCAATATCCGTCAAGTTGAAGATCAAGTCTTCGGGCTTATCATACTCTGGCCTTCTCAGTACCTTTGTCCAGTTCTTCAGGTTTGTCCAGGTCTCTTCTGGCGTGCTACCGCTGAACGGCGGAAAACCAGCAAGAAATTCGAAGAATATGCAACCTAGTGACCAATAGTCGACTGAATAAGTGTATGGTTTGCCTCTGAGGACCTCGGGCGCCATGTAGTCGGGTGAGCCAACTATGGAGTCCGCATACCGTGGGTCTTCAGCACGGATGGATTTGTACATGGAGCGACGTTCCAGGGTAGAGCGGTAGACGACTTGGACGTCTTTCACTTTATCGAGCTGAGAAATATTAGGGCGCACAGGATGAATTCAGGGCTGCAGACAGACCTTCAGCTTCATCGATTCAATGCGCTTGGGATTGAGGGCACCTGTGGCAAGGCCAAAGTCAGTCAGCTTGACGTGTCCGGTGCCGTCCACGAGAAAATTCTAGAGGTGTAATCAGTGCTACGGAACTTGCGAATGCAATGAAGTTTTACCTCCGGCTTTAAGTCACGATGAATGTAACCAAGCTTGTGAAGCTCGTTGACAGCGACGAACATTTCTGAAATATAAAACCTTGCGTGCTCTTCCTTGAGAACGCCAGAGTTGTTGAGAAGAGTACGAAAATCGCCTCCGGGAACATACTCCATTGCTAAATATACGTGCTGTGCGTCCTGGAATGCGTACAGAAGTCTGACGAGCCAGGGTGTCTTGGTTGCGGTGAGGATGTCGCGCTCCACTAGGACGTGCCGTACCTTGTAATGCATCAGTCTTTACGCAGATATACTAGCGGGATAATAAACCTCGTCCATCTTGAACAATGTACGTTTCTTCATCTTCTTGAGAGCGCATATCTCTCCCGTGTCCTGTTTCCGTGCCAAGAACACTTCACCATAACCACCCTGCCCGACTTGTGCAATGATATGAAACTGGTCAACCCTTAGCTTTGCTCTGCGCTTCCTCAGAATAACTCTCTCTCGCCCGCAATACGACTTGAACTCCTTTGCGCACTCGGCGGCTGTTAACTGCCTTTTGGTAGTATCTGCGTCAAAGCGTGCCCTCCTTTCCTTCCTGGATGAGATATATCCAAGGTTCATGAAGTAATAGTCGAGAAAAACTGGCAGGAACATAGAAGATGAGATCGGGGAAGATCTCAGAGTGGGATGCTCACATAGTTGGGCAACAGTGGCCTTGCGCTTGACCTCGGCGCTCTGAAGCAACTCCCTCTCCCAAAGCTGAAATCCACCCGCTTTCATGGTTGTCGCGTTTCGTGCAGTGTCCATTGAAATGTCGTCAGACCATGCGCCGCCGCCAGGCTTTGCGGTACTCATGTGGATGTCCCGAAGTCCCAATGTGATGCCCTTTGCCGTGTCCATATGTATGTCTCGATATTGGGGTGAATCTGATCTAGATGGAAGGGGAGCCATAGAGCATATCTCGGTTGATATCCTAGATGTTCCTGGCCTATCGATCTTTGTGCGATGAAGATGCGAGCCCTCAGTACCTACTTTGTTTAATTGATCAATACGGTCACATGACAGACGCGTTCTGGAGCCTGGAGGAGTCCGAGACTCCGAAACTGTGACTTTACAACCAATATCGCTGATTGAACATGCCTCAAGTTCGTCCTACTCATATTGATCTTGCTTCAATCCTTGCAGAGCCTAGTCCTTCTGTCGACCTGCGCCTGCACGCATATGAAGCTTCTACGTCTAATTTTCTTAGAGCGGTCACCAATTATGCAAATCGCGCCGTAGCAGAGATCACCAAACATAGGAATGCTCAGGAGGCGGACAAGAAACGTCTGGCTGAAAAGACTGCTGCAGTAAAGGCTGAAACTAATCAGTGCAAGATGAAGGAGATTGAGCTGCTTGCTGGTACGTGGTCATGCTTGCCGTAGTGTGTAATTGTGCAGCAATAACGTCTCTCAGTAATGGAAAGGGAAAAGGAGGAGGTCCGAGAAGCCGAGTCATCTATTGTCGCTCTGAAACGCCATCTCGCATCCATCCGTGAAACCTGCCAGTCTGTGGATGCAGAGATAGAGCAATATCGTGCCCTAACTGCCAATTTGAAGAGAGGTAGGTACTTTCATTGTAATTTCCTTGCCTGTGCTGATTAGGCTACTTTGTGCAGAGAAATATCGAGAGCAGCAGACCTTGGAGATGCATGCAGCACAAACAGGACCGGAATTAAATGCCTGCGAAACCCGTTTACGTTGTCACATTGAGGGAATAGAGAAGGACCGGCTCCTCATTCGATTCACGCACATTGACAAGCTTGACATTGACCGTGAGTTCAGCTTTGTGCTCGACGTTGCATCCAGATCAAATCAAGGTATGCCAGTCAATGGCCTATCTGGAAAGGTGGTGCTTACATATGCCAACCAGTGATAACGACCACACCACCACTGCCAAATCTCCCCATACTACTCAATGAACTAAATGAAACAAGGAATATATTACATTTTATCAAGTCGATGCGCTCGGCATTTTCCCAGTTAGTAGAGCAACATTAGGAGGTTATTAAATCACTACAGAAAAATGTCTGGGATGGATGTGGCAAAAACCTGCAGATTCATTACCATCGTGGATATCGATTATGCACCGATGGGAATGTCCTACGAATCTCATGTTCTACCCAAATTATCCTAGGTGACAAACCCGCTGCGATGACAAAAACAGATGTGACGTGAATGCAAGCTGACAACATGTTTGTAGACAAAGATATTTATTGTAAACAGAATTCAGACTAGTCGGCGGGAAACGCAGCCGTTACAGCATGCGCAACGAATGTGTGGGTGTCCCTGGCAAATGTAATTTGCAATGTATTTCTGCAGTGAATGTGATATCGCATAGATGCATCGTACACCACCACTTTTCGATAATCTCCAAGTAAGCAATAAATTTATATGTACATATATTGTCTTTCAAGTTAGTCGTCGTCTCCTTCTCCCCAACCCGTCCGATCTCTATGACCCCCAGAACTTCCCAGCTTTCCCTTGGTCCGGCTCTTGCGGCCGCCTAGCTCCTTGTACATTTCCCTCATCTCCAATTTGCCTGGCCGACTTTGAGTAAGCTCCTTTTGTCGCCATTGCTCCTCTCTAAGTTCTTTTGGCGTTTGATAGCCTGATTGTGACGGTGAAGTGCGGCCTGAGCCTCTCGAAGGCAACGGGGATGATGGAGGCGAGCGATTCGACACAAATTTAATGTAGGTTATCCGCTGAGAACAAATCATCAAGTCATGCAGCCAGATACAGGAAGACAAACTATCCACCCAATTTTGCTTCGACTCTCTTCTAGTCCACTTTCCAGGAGGAAGAGTTTCATCATGGAAATTTTCCTTCCTATAATGCTGAAACCAAACTTGCAACACAGTGCAGATCGTTAGCATACAGCAAGCTAGATGATGTATATATGAATTACTGTAGTTCAGTGTCTGACTCTTGTTCCACTTTCTTGATACCCTAGCGCAATTTGCGAGCTCAGATATCCCAAGCCATTGGAAAATATTTTGCGATACTTGAGTTGGAAATGCCTTTAGGGGGTCGCTCGAGAGACCCTTCGATGGCAGTGCACTCGCAGAACGAGTAAGACCCCATCGTGTGGGTGATACAGGGCGCGATGAGGGGCGCGATGGTCCCCTTGACCTTGCTGGTGTCCCTGGTAGTGAGAACTTGAGAATATGTTGAATAATTGACACTAGAGTGAACGGTATAAGGACATACCACGCCAACGAGCTCATCATCTGAGTCATCCTCAGGCTGAGATTGTCTGGAAGATGGATAGAGTCCATTCAAATCATACGTTTGAGATTGCGATTTAAGCACGCCTTGTAGCAAACTCATTGTGCAGGAATCGTGCAGGTGGTTTGGAATCTAGATGTGAGATGAAAGTTTAGAATGCCTAAACGAAAGGCTGACAAAGATGGAAATATGATGTCATCCACACCACTTCTACCCCACAATTCTTACACACGTAATTCACAACTAGATCAATATTTCTAATGGTTGAACGACCAATTTTTGTTAAGAAATGATGAAGTTCATTGAAAGCCACTGGTGACAGCCCGCCGAGCGTTGCCGTGGAGGAGTCCTATACTAATGGCTAGTTAGTGAATGCCTGTAGCCACACCAGGAGCACATAATTCTCATTCGCATGTAACACATACAACCATTATAAGGGTGAAGCCGTGAGGGATAGTATTGAAAAACTCTGATGATTATTCCGAGTTCACCATCTAAAAAACGGAACACAGTATAATCAAGGCTTATGCATTGTTCGTAGTACTTTAAACCGACTTGAATAGCTGCCACACGCCTTTTGCATATCCCACAACCTCATCCGCGCCGAGCTTGCTTTCTCCAAATATCCGATCCACAAAAGTAATTGGTACCTCGCCAACGGTATACCCCAGCGCCCGTGCTCTCACCATCATCTCCATCTGGAACACGTACCCCCTGGACTGTGTCAGTGAAATGATATGCCGAAGTACGGGCAGCCGGTACAGTCTACACCGGCATCAAGTTTCAGTCCACTTTCCCGAATCAATCATTTACGTACCTAAAACTGCCGGTTAGGTCGCTTACTCCGGGGTTCAGCATAGTGGCAGCCAGGAAATTTGCCCCTCGTGAGACTAATTTGCGCTTCAAGTCCCAGCCGTGCACACCACCAGGCTGAGCTTCAGCAAGGTATGGAGTGGATGTTGAGCGATATCGCGTTCCCGTCACAATGTCGAGGTTGTGTGCTTGTTGTAATCTACACATTGTTAAGAGAGAAAAGTCAAGAAAAGAACAACACACCTGATAAATTGTGGAATGAACTTGGGCTGACCGGATGAATGCACATCAGAACTTGTTCGTCAAAGGATGTTGAAGCACGTACATGATGCGAAAAGTCGGCATCCATTATTATCACAAAGTCACCAGTGCAGAAGTCGAGCCCATGGATATATGCAGTCCTGCGCACAAGTTGACGACGCACTTGTTTTTCATACTCACTCTCAGTACTTACCCGAGTCCAAGTTTCCCTGCCCGTGGTTTGAGCAACTTGTCCTACAATGAGTCAAACCTCGACGCGCGATCCATTTGGACTCACTATTTTGTCCTCGCCATAAGCCCTTGCCATTTCAATGGCTACATCTTGCGTCCCATCCGGACTCGCATCGTCTACGATGATGATCTCCCAAGCAAGCTGGCTGGTGTACTCAGTCTGACTTTCAGCAAATGAAGCAGACAGAACGCACTGTTCCTCGAAGACCTTCACCAGCAACCAGATAATAATTGGGAGGTTCTTGCGCTCATTGTAGGTTGGTAGAATAACAGAATACTTGTGAGTATTTGGCGTGTTATATTGACCTTGCATCTTCAAGCGACACTGGGCTGGCGAAAGGGTTCATTAAATTTGTAGTTTTGTAACTTGATGGCAGTTAGCGTGCGAGTTTCCAGCATCGGCTCTTCTTTACTACTTGCACGTTATGGCCTCACTTGAATCATCCTCGTTGCCTTCACCATCAATGTCGCCCTCAAGCACTGACCAAAGCACGTGTCCGTCTACCACAGCACTCAAGTCTCTGCTCACTACAACCCTTCGTATCTCGACGACTGATAATCGAGTCTTCATTGGCACATTCATGGGCACTGACCAATTGTTGAATATCATCCTTGTCAACACTGAGGAGTACATTCTGGGAAACGAAGCTAGTCGCTTCGTCGGCCAAGTCATGCTCCCCTGGCGCCTTGTCCTTCATGTCGAAGCGTTTAACCAACAGAGTACTTCAAATGGCAAAGGAAAGGATAACAAAAGCTTGTACATGTAGATTGCAGTTCGAAGATACATGCATTAAATAACTTGTCCAAATGGTATATCCATTGTCCTGTCCACCTCTCCTATATTCATGGGCACATGTGACAGAATTTCATGATCTCTCCTTCTCGAGGAGCCCTTTCATCACTATCTGCTGTGAAGATCCAGCCAAATATGGGCCTTTTGCGGGCGTCGCTGATAATGCACAGGGCTGATTTGTTCCATGGCGCAGGATTATTCATCCTTGGCCAGCACGCTAGCCCTTGTATTTATCCTTGTAGATCCACGCCATCCCCACGTCGCTGGCACCTTGTTCGACCTACAGAACCACGTTAACGTGTAATTTTCAAGACCTACGCTGGTTGCACTTACAGCCGCGCGATACCACCTAGCAGCTTCTTTTTTATCCCTCTTGCACCCTTTGCCATTGGCTAGGCAAAAAGCGAGATCTTCTTGTGCGTCCCCGTCACCAAGGTTGGCAGCAACTCGATAGTAACTCTGGAAATTATTAGCACAAGTCCAGAGACAATTAGTGACGACGTACGACTGCCATCTTGTAGTCCTTAGCTATACCCCAGCCATGAAAAAAGCACTGCCCAACCTCATAAATCGCTAGTATAAGCTCCGACTAAGAAGGATTCATCAGCACTTCATATACAATCACAGACCAAACTCACTCTAACAGCTTTTACGTCCATGCCTTCTCTCGCCTTGCCCAAATCATCTACTGCGCTTTCCGCGGCCTTTGTTAACCACTTAAACCCACTTTTCTCATTCTTCTCGCATCCCCACCCGTGCCTCAATGTCAATCCCCACATGAGCATCCCTATCCCACACCCACCCTGTTCCTTTGCACTTTTCTCGAAGTAAAATGCACTATCTTGTAGTTTGTTTGCTTCGTGGTATTGTATTCCTAGCTGAAGATATTCCTGTGGAGTAGAAGGCTCGGTGTGATGTGAACGGTTGCTCGACGGGGAAGGTGAATGGGTAGGAAATTGTGAATTGCCAGTTGGGGATGGAGAGCCATCGCTCAGACGGTAAAACGAATATGACGTGGAGTACAAGCTTGCTGGTGAGCTTGGACGTACAGATGGCGGGTGAGAGGGAAGGTGTACATGGGAGGGAGATGAGAGAGACGGGGAAGAAACAGCATAGTTTGGTTGAAGATATGACCTTGACGAGCACGCATCAGATTGCGGCGTAGGCGACAGAAGTCGGGTTTCAGAAAAGCTGACGCCCGTCTGGGGTGTAATTGGAGCAAGCGAAAGCGGGGTACGAGTGGTGCGTGGAGAACGAGCTCTTTGTGAATTTCGCTCAAGAACCTGGCGTTTCTGCTCTTCAGAAGAGAATATCGGTGGTCTGCCTGGCCTGGAGAAGTTTATGCGGGGAGTAGGGCCGACTATGGGTGACCTTCCGCCAAGTTTTGGCTCACTGCTGACAACCTGTTTGTCGATATCCTGGGGTTTGGAAACCACGACGGTTGGAACGGGAGTGCTTGAGTTTGCCAGACGCATGTCATGAAGCGAGAATTGTGTGTTCAACGCATTCGCGGAACCACTGGCAGGTTCTGCCGTTGTAGTATGCCAAGCACGGCGGCTGTCTATGGAAGCGCTGGGGGTGTGACTTTGTAGCGAATGCATGTTATTCTCTTCATAATATGACTCAAGTTCGTCATAATATCCGTTTGGTTCGTCCGTCAATGATAGAAATGACTTTCTGTTAAGATAATCAGCGTTGCTAGCTGTCGAGTTACGGAACTGCGAGTGTAGCAGAGGAGACTCGGGCACTCTCGGATTAGTTGCATATGGCCTCGGCGGAGAAGTTGCATTGAAATTCTGGACTTGCAACGACGCTGGAAACCCACTGGCAGTTGACCGAGAGGAAGATGGCACAGGCAAAGAGGAATTAATGATATGCTTCCGAGTCTCGTATTCTTCTTTCCGTCGGACAGCCTGTCGTTTGGACGAAGTTCGCCGAACCAAGGTGTCTAGCGGTGATGAATGGGCCAGGCGCACCTCGTTCTCATGTGATGCCGCCATGATACTAATACTTGCAGTCGACTCAAGGCAGGTCAAGATCTTAGGTTACTAGGGACTGCGCCTGATAGCTCCACCATACTCCATTAATATCTAGTGTATCCGTGGCACTGTGGCAGATCACTTTCAATGAATCTGAAACATTTCTGCTCGTCCTCCTCCCGTTTATTGTCATGATAGTATATACTATAGGATTGTCTGACGTCTTGTCCTACACACAATAACGATATATTTATGTAACTCACGGCCCTCGGACGAGTATAAGATCACCACACTTTAATCATTGAATGTACAAACCACAGACCTAGTAATACTATCTCATGTTGTCCCATGCGTCGTAAAACGGAAATCTGTGTAGCTGGAGAAACCTACGCGTCAGAAAATAACAATCATCCATCTCGCATGTCAAAAAATATCATCTCCACTTTTGACCATAAGGCCGGGGCTTGTGAAAGAATCTGAACGCGGTAAAGTATTAATAGATGTCTCTGAGGGCCTCACCCATGCTATAGATAACAATGATAATAGTATGGACTTTGCACGTCCCGAGTTCATTGATGCTTTCCCAGTGATCTTTGCAGTGGGTTTGAACTCCCTGTGGCCCTCGTACAAACCGATTACTTCTGAATCGGTGACTGCCCATGAGCCGACGATGCTTGTCCTCCAGAGTTTTTGTGCAATCTTCGTGTTAGGGATGGCCCAGACGAGTGTACTTATCTGTGGTGTAAAGTACAATTATGGCCCTAACGCCAAGAATCCGTGCTGCTGTTACATCCTTGGCAAGTCGCTACGCTCCTATTGCTTCACGAGTTGACCAATGAGCGAATGTACGCTGGGAGACCCCAAGGTCTGCGTGAAGTCGCGTCTGCTTCTTGGTCAGCTTGAATCTTCCCAGAGCATTTTCAAGCGATGTTTTCCCCAGTGCAAACCCCTGATGGCAGTGACTGTATCAGCAAGCCTCTTGCGATGCAAGGTGGATATACCTGACGAATCACTTCGGTCCAAACATCCCAAATGCTGAGTCACCACCAACAAGCTCAGTGACCAATATCTGAGTCTAACCAGTTTACTCTAGTAGCAGTTTGCTGCTTGCATCAACACCCAAGCTCCAAGCACAAAGATTGGTCGGGCAGATGGTGTGCTAAGCCAGCCGAGGCACGAGACAGGCATGGAATTTGGTCTATGCGAGGTGACGCAGGGTTTCTTGATCCTGCCCACCATCACAGCGCCGCCCCCGACAAACTCACTAACTAACCAATATATGTTTTTCTTCAGCGTGACGATGTCCTTTTCAATCGTTTGTCCGACGCATACGCTTCTATAAAAGGTTGCTTCCAGTTTCATCGAGCTGATCGGACCCATTCCGCCCCCACAGCTCACCTTGCGCCATAGGTACGGACCCATGTTTCGGGCCGGGAAAGCCAGGGCTCTCACCCAACGACTCGACAAGATGTCTCTTCACCATCGTTTGAAGTGTTGTCTCTTTGTAAAGGCACAACTGACAGTTTTTGTATAAGAAGGTTTAGCCCCACCCGAGAGCCACCAAGCTACGAAAGGGCAGGAGGTATGGACAACCTGTATACGGGCTGTAATATCATCAATAGGTCATAACGCGAAATCAAAAATCGCTTTTATACAGTATATAGCGTGCATGCACCACCTTGGCGCTTTTCGTAACAAAAGTAAATGTGAGCAAGAGCTGCTCTAATCCAACCATGACCCCATCTACTCAGCCTTGTAATCAGGACGCAGCGACCGCACGGTTTTGCCCGCACGCCAGATCTCCTGGTCGTCGATCTCCTTCAACTCCTTGGCCAGATCTTGGCGGTACGTCGAGCGGCCGTTGAATTCGAGGGACTTGCGGGTCTCTGTACCGTTTCGGACGCTCTCGTACAATTGCTCAAAGATAGGCGTGTTGGTCTTCTCGAAGATGGGTGCCCAGTCAAGAGCACCACGGCGAGCAGTCGTGGAACAGGCATTGTACATGTAGTCCATGCTACAAACGATGAGAGAAAGGTGCGCAAAAGGAAATATACACATACCCCTTCTGTCCAATCAAGGGGTACAGAGATTGAGTGGCCTCCTCGACAGTTTCGTTGAAGGCTTCCGAAGGAGTGTGGCCGTTGGCACGAAGCACCTTGTACTGCGCGCAGAAAAGACCCTCTGATACACCATCAAGTGAAAACGTGTGCATCTTGCATTGAGAGTAAACTTACGGATGGCACCCATGAGCACACCACGTTCACCATAGAGGTCGGAGTAAACCTCCTTCTCAAAGGTGGTCTCGTACATGTACCCTGAGCCTACAGCGACACCGATGGCAACAGCCTTTTCCATGGCCTTGCCCGTGACGTCCTGGAAGACGGCCACACTAGAGTTGATGCCACGACCCTCTTTGAATAGGGTGCGGACAGTACGGCCAGAGCCTTTGGGCGCAACCAAGATGACGTCGACATCCTTGGGAGGTATAACCTTGGTGTCCTCCTTGTATACGACAGAGAAGCCGTGCGAGAAGTAGAGGGTCTTGCCCTTGGTGATAAGATGGTGCAACGGTGGACCACGTTTGTGATTGCGCTGCGTCAGAGAGAAGGTTCATGATAATCGTGCCCCGGTTGATGGCTTCTTCGATCGGGAATAGGGTCTCTCCGGGAACCTAATCACATACCAGTTTAGGTGCTCAAAAGCCGAAGCAGAGGTGAACATACCCAACCATCCTCCATGGCCTGCCGCCAGCTCTCGCCATCTTTCCGGACACCAACGATGACATTGAGACCGTTGTCACGAGCATTCAAGCCTTGACCGTGGCCCTGAGAACCATAGCCAATGAGAGCAAGGGTATCATTCTTGAAGTAATCCTGGAGCTTCGCGAGCGGCCAGTCACTTCGCTCGTAAACAACCTCCTCGGTGCCAGCAAAGTTAAGTGTCTTCACGCCCCGAGCAGCGGACTATGTAAGTGTAACCGTCAGCATTTACCAGTCACGCCAATACTTTTTTTTTTTTACCTTAAGGGCAAGTTGGGGCGATGTGCTTGCCAAAGCCTGACGAGCAAGCAAAGAATAGCACGCGCTCTGTGCAGGCTTGGCTGCAATGCTTGCTCCGATACGAGGTGCACGGCGAGAAGCAGCACGTAGGGTTGCAACTGAACGCGACGCGAAGGATGCCATGTTGAGTGAAGAAAAAGTTGAGAAGGGACCTTAAGAAGCACATAAATTTTAGTGCTTAATACCGAGTCACTCGGCCGGCCTTGTCCGATATGCCAGCGAAGGTCACGTGCAACCAATAAAATCTGACGAACCTTGAACCTAATTGTATACACATATTTAACTCAGAATGCGACAGACGAGGCAACAATATTGATAATATGAAACACGCAAGCAACCTATGAATGAGCACATCCATCATATCCCGACTCGTCTTCGAGGTGTCTGTCCAACCCGATTGCCTGCAAGGCCAAGATGTCTCGGCGTTCCGGGCACAATAATCTTTGAGCTGCTTCCACCCGAAACCTTGACTGCGAGAGCTTTCTCTGCCTCTTGCCGTGCATAACTGCAACAAGCGTGAATAAAAAAAGCCGTTTCGTCAGATTGTCGTTCACGTACTCTTCCCTTTGCTTCGCGATTTGCGATTCCAGTTCAGCTTTTCTGGAGAATTCTCGATCGGCTTGTCGCCGCATTCCACGATCGTCGAAGTCTTTGAATTTGACCGAGTAGAACACCGCACCGAATTCAGCTACAATCATCGTTCATATTTCCCGAGATGAACGTGTAAGACGAAGTAACATACCTAGCCACATGGCATCAATCGCAGTGACCTGGGTCATGTACTCCTTCGAAGTCAGGATCAACTCGTGGTAAACAACGTATGTGGGGGTATCTTTGTCGTTGTCATCAGCGAGACCCAGAAACAGAACAATCAATCACATACACCCAAGACCATAAAGCGCACTTGTAGGATGCAGATGCGTTGGGAGACCAGTGCGAATATTTACATACTCGCCAATGCCCTTCACACGTGCACATTGGTGGAAATAGCCAGCAGTGATAGCTTTCCTGCGAAAAGGTCAATGCCACATAATTGATACAGTTATTGTACAGTACCTGACGACATCAAAGTCTGTGCCAGCAGAAATGATCTCCATCTTCTGGAACTTCATGATATCCTCCAACTGAGCCCTTACCTCACGGGCTTTGCGGAGCAGTTTTGGGTGCAGAAAATGACGCGTAGCCCATTCATCACGGAATCTACAAGTTATATTGAGCACCCTGCGGCAATAATAAGATGAACGAACTGACCCATGGCTCTTCCACTGGTTGAAAACATTCAACAGAGTCAAATGGTCACTCTCTGGTACGTTGAACTTTTCACGTGCAGCATCGGCCTCTTCCATCCTCTCTTTTGGTCTGTAGAAGATGCTTGGCACTGAGAGCATGGATACAATGGTCAACATCTCTGCCGAGCACTTCATGTCCACGGACGCAATAAGCATCTTAGCCATGGAGGGCTCCATGGGAAACTCGGACATTTTCCTACCCACGGGCGTCAAATCGCCAAGATTATCCAGCGCACCTAATACCCAAAGTTGGTACATTGAATTTATAATGTTGGCTTGGGGAGGAGGGTCCATGAAGTCGAATTCAAGAAGGTTCTTCACACCAAGAGACTTGAGGAGCAGAACAGTATTGGCGAGATTAGTGCGCTGAATTTCTGGGATGGTATTAGGGAACATCTCATTGCGAAACGCCATTTCTGTATACAGGCGGTAACAGAACCTTCAGAAAGTTCAGCGAATTGATGTCCTACAGCTAAAATGAACACATACCCGCTGCCTGTGCGGCCGGCACGCCCAGTCCGCTGGTTGGCGTTGGCTTGGCTGACCGGTGTGATCTGCAAAGCATCCATTCCGACCTTTGGATTATACACTTTAAGCTTTGAGTAGCCCGCGTCCACCACATAGATAATTCCATCGACCGTCAAAGAAGTCTCGGCAATGTTAGTAGCTACGATGACCTTCCTTCGTCCATCAGGAGTGGCTTCGAAAATTTTAGCCTGCAGGTCGGCAGGCATTTGTGAATAGATTGGGAGCACTGCCAGAGGGGCAGGCTGATCAAGCTGTGCCAGTCGCTCTATACAAACAATTTAGGATATGTGCTGTTAACATCTGATATCGCATACCATTAATAACCTGACACGTAATTTCGATGTCTTCTTGTCCAGTCATGAATACAAGGATATCACCAGGGGGGAGCGAAAGATGGATTTGGAGAACCTGCTTCACAGCACTGTCTACGTAGTCCTCGCAAGGTGATTTTGAATGAAACATCTCCACCGGAAATGTACGCCCAGGAATGGTATAACAAGGGGCATTACCATAGAATGCAGAAAACTGAGATCACGTCAGTCTCTGATTGCCAGAACAGTTAGAGGGGACATTTGCCTTGTCAGCATTCATGGTTGCCGATGTGACGATGAGTCTTAGATCTCTTCTCCGAGACAGGACTAGAAAAATGATGAACTCAAGGTTGTCTAGCCGGGCAATAACAAGGCGTACTCTTACGAAGTAAACCCATAAGAACATCAGTGCTTAGTGAACGTTCATGTGCCTCATCCAGGATGATTACACTGTAACGGTCCAAATCACCTTCATTCAAAGATTCTCGCTGAAGAACACCGTCTGTCATGTCTAGAAAAAAGATAAGTTAGGCTAGAGACAAGAGACATGACACTGTACATTTGATCTTGGTTTCTGCAGATGTACAGTCCTCAAACCGAATCGCATAACCAACGGTAGAACCAAGCTTGCACTGAACAAGGGGTCAACATAAAAATCAAGAAGATCAATTTAACGCTTGCCTCCATCTCCTCAGCAACACGCTTTGCTACAGACATAGCGGCTACACGACGCGGCTGAGTGCAACCAATGAGACCGTATGCGCAGTACCCATCCTCATAAAGGAACTGCGCCAGTTGAGTAGTTTTCCCAGAACCAGTCTCTCCAACGACGATGACAACTATAGAACATAAATGTTAGAAGTATAGACGCAGCTGCATAGCATAAATCTAACCCTGGTTTTCTCGGATGACCTTAAGAAGCTCATCTCGACATGCAAATGCAGGCAAATACTCTCTCTGCTCCTTCAGTGTTCTATTCTTCGCAAACGAACTGACCCCAGTGGAAGCCTTCAAGTGGCTAGCGAACTTAGAATCCCCCTTATAATCCTCTTTCTCACCAGATTTTGCCTTTGCTTCTGCCAGAGCTGCACGAAAAATTCCAAATGGACTACGTGAATGTCCAACTCGAGCTGCGCCACAAGGGCAGAGAGTAACCACGCACCTTCAGCTTCGGCCTCCTCATCCTTCACGCCCATGATGTTGCCGAGCTGTGTGCCTCCAAGAGATGCAAGTTTGGCTGCTGCCTTTGCCCTCTCCGCCTGTTCTCGCTTCTCTTTCACCAAAGCGCTTCCCTTCTTTGAAAAGATGGCCATGTCGCTCGTAGGGTCGCGGATTGGATTGATGGGCTCAAGTTGCTTCGTGAAGATTGTCTTACCATCCAAGAAAGGTGGCTTGATGTCATGCACCATGACATGTACCGTCGACTCAGATTCGTCTTCAAAATCAAGATCAACTTCCTTACGGGTCGCAACACCGGAAGTCAGCATCCGATTAGCTTCCCAGAGGTCGTTATCTGCATTCTAAAGAGAAAGTCAAAAACTAAAAGAAGATGTGGAGCGGATGTCAAGTCTCACATATTGGGCTTGCCTGGCCGATATTCTCCTCTGCAAAAAAAACTTCAGCAACACTAAGCTACTTGCAGATGAGAACTACATACGACTTGTTTTTTCGAAATCTCTGCGTCCTTCAGCGCGGCGAGATCCTCGTACTGCGCCAAAGGGTTATGTTCTTCGTCTCCAGCAACACCACCTTCTTCTGCTCCAGTATACCAATCACGGTCCAGCCGCAGCTGCTCCTCCTCCCATTCCCTCACATCAACACCAAGAAGTCCATCATCCTCTGGGCTTCCTCCTCTCGGAATGCGCGGGGTCGGCGCGTCCCAAGCACGATTTCTTGCCCCTCCCCAGCCAGATCCTTCACCCTCTTGTCGTCTCGGCGTTGAATCCCACCCTACATTGGGAACACGGACGCTAGGCGCATCTCGGTTGCTACTACCACGCTCTGAATGGGGTGTAGAATCCCAGCCACGTTCATTTTGCCGATCCCTGTCATGGCCTCGTCGAACCCATCCCCTATCGTTATCCCGATTTGATCGTCGTTGAAAATCTCCAAGTCCTTGAGAAGTGAAAGGCCGTTGCTCCTGCACCGCAGTGATTCCTTCTAAAGAGTTACTTTGTGGTCAGAAACGACACGCCATAGCAGGATATAATAGTCGTACCTTTCTGTTTTTCGCGGTTTCGTCGGTATTCCTCCAAGCGGGCTCGTGCGGGATCCGACAGACCGCCTGGGTGAGATGGTGTCTCTTCTCCTCGCTGCCTTAAACTGTTTCCTCGACCAACTGGCAAACTGGGGACTGGATAGAAGGTGAGAGGACATTAGGAAGCCGCAAACTTGTCACACCTTTGAACAAAGTGTCATCACTCAGCCTCGGCTTCTTTCGAGGGCCGTTCTCGGATAGGGCCTGTTCCCTCTTTTCTTTCGCTAGTCGATCAAGGCCGAGTAAAGAGCCTCGAGGAGTGGGTGGTTCAATCGGCTTCGCAGGCTGGCGAAAAGTGTGTCTCTGTAGATTATGAGCAACTGTATAGAACACTGAGCGTTGATAAAACGTACTGTGTCGTTCCTCACGAGGCCGCCTTGCCGGATTGGATCAGGCTCGAGCACCTCGCTGTCATGGACTGTTATACCCTCGACAGGACGAGGAGCAAGTCCAGAAGCCTCCTGCTTGACATGCGATAAGATTTCGTCATGCAGTTCGGTCAAAAAAGAATCTTGAAACTTGCCAAACGCCCGAGCCGCTGCAACAATGTGTTAGCGAACGTACCTGGATTCCGGTGCAGTAAATTTACCTTTGGCAAAACCTTCAGCGGAGTTGGTTTTAGCTATGTCAATGACACGCTCTGCGAGTAAGTCGTTCGGGTTTACGAGGTTCAATGCTCGTGAAAGTTGGATGGCAACCTGATGCTTGAACCCATCGTCTGTATTCGGAGACATAATCCACCTAACTCAGTCCGGGTTATCCAGTCGTCGAATTGTTTAAAGAGGTTGCCGATGCACGTAGGCTTTAGTACTTGGAAGAGCCTGACTAGTACGGAGACCTTTCACAGTGCGGCATAGGCTATTGGAGGAGATATAGTCTTACGTCAGCGGCTCAACAGTCACATGCTCCGAGGCCCAGCCCTGAGAACTTGAAAGTCCCTTCCAAGCAAGATCATCCACTCATGATTTTAGCAAACGACGGACCGCGTTATTTCTATGATTGTCTTGGGCATGGTCTCTGTTGATCTCTCTGATCATTCCGAGGAGACTTTGGTCGAATGTTCAATGCCTCAACTACCCTAGCTTTTTACATGATAAACATCTACGACGGTCTATATACGTATGCAACCGCGATCTTTTTGTCGCACCATTAATGAAGCTTGTGATAGATCCAAGTCACACGATTCAAAAATCTTGTGCCAGTTAGGCCCACTGGATCAGAGGCGTACATACGTCGGAATGTTGTCGGAATAGCACACGCGTTGTCAAGATTTCGCAGTGAAAGCCCCGCTGCAATAGATGGTCTCTGTGGTGCGTTTTACTTTTAGGTCTGCTACTCTGGGATGTAAATGGTGTCACGAGTTGATTGTACAATTTTAACTTAGTTCTGATCCACGGCACTCGCGATTGAAACAGTCACTCAAATTTACTATTCTGCAAAAAAACGCCATCAGATACCCTGGAAGCATATGACTAGTCATGCAGGTGACCGATATGGAAATCACAATTATTACTGTCTTGAAAGACAGTAACTTGAACCGGCCGGCGGTCGAACGCTGCACTTTTTTATTCAAGGATCTCTCATGATCGGCGGTCTCTTTTGCGAGTGCGCATTATGTGTTTGAATGCTTCTCCACCACTAGCACATGCTTCCTTCCCATGATTTAAGGTGGCTTTTCGCTATCATGCTGTCACTTGTGTCAATCCAATAGGCTGGAATGTTTTCGTTGTTTCCGAAGGGTTGTCTCCCAACCTAGGGGAGGCATGACTCCCGTTCTGCCGCATGGTATACTTCACATGGACTCATCACGAGCTCAAAATTATCTCCCCACCCGTCAGGAATCACGGATAGGTTTAAATACTGAGAGCGGGCAGGGGATGGTAGCCTTGTCCTACAGGCTATCTTACACCATGAAGCTTAACACCGTTAATGCCAGTTTCATTCTTGCTTCGCTTGCTGCACTGACCTTGGCAGGTGCAGTCTATACTCTCGATGACAGTATCGTTGGCGAAGGCTTCTATAGCTCTTTCAATTTCGAGGCTATCGCCGACCCGACTAATGGGCGTGTGTATGTCTACCCCGCACGCAATTTTTTCTGTTTCTTAGTGAAAGACAGGATATATGTTGACCAGCAAACGGCTCAGATGCTCAACTTGACTTATGCCACGAGCAACACCTTCATTATGCGCGCAGATGACACTACAGTCTTGACCTCCAGCGGGCCAGGCCGGAATTCCGTCAGGATTCGATCTAATCGCCAGTACAAGCAACACTGTTGTCGTGTAGGTGATCGATCCCTCACGAATATGTCATTGACTAATAAATTTCGACAACAGATTTGATATGCAGCATATGCCTGAGGGATGCGGGTGAGCCTTTTTTGTTCTTCTGGGGAGTTGGGTTGTGTATTTCTCTCAACACAGAACATGGCCTGTAAGTAGTCACTTGGCGCCGACAAAGTAAGCTTATAGTAATGGATCATAGGCTGTCTGGGAAACCAACGAAGCTGACTGGCCTGCTGGTGTTTGTTTTTCTCCTTGAGTCTGATAGCTCTGATCCTGATGTAGATCCCTTTTCCTAGGGTGAAGTTGATATTGTCGAAGGCGTAAACAATGTGGAGCCTAACCAGTCGACACTCCACACTAGCCCTAGTTGGTTCAGTATGATTCTACAGATGTGTCATTTTTAACTCCTGTTATCACGCAGACTGCTCTATGCCAGCTTCCACTGACCAATTAGGGTATGTTTCGAATCGGCATTGCACAAACCATTTGCCTAAGGTTCCAACTGTTTAGCACGACAGTTTCAACCAATTGTGACACTACGGGTGAGGTTACCATTGCTCATCTCAATCTCTCACTAAAATGCAACAGTCGATGGAAATTTGGGTTGTGGTGTACACTTCACAGAAGACTACGGCAGTTTTGGACCAGCATTCAACAGTATTGATGGAGGATGGTGCGTTACTGCAAATTATAAGTAATACTCTTGCGCCTTACAGGTTCTTCTGTAGGTATGCTATGGAGCGCACAAATAGCCATATCAAGGTTTGGTTCTGGGAGAGAGACGACAAATCTGCTCCCTTCGACGCTACCAGCGGTGCATGGCTCATCGACACCAACTTCTGGGTAAGAGTGTCTGCATTTATTGGATTAACTGCTTACATACTCGCCGCCTGCCAGGGAACTCCTGCCGCTTACTTTCCTAACACCTACTGTGACCTCGCGTCTCATTTTGATGCCAACAACATTATCATTAACTTGACGTTCTGCGAGTTTTGCTTGACTTGTGGTGTTATTCCAGGCTAATGCAGTGCGCAGGCGGCGACTGGGCAGGTAGCTCAGCCGTCTATGCTGCTTCTGGATGTCCGTCGGACTGCGTGAGTTACGTTGACAGTAAGTGCTCACCCAATGTCTAGTATAACCCCTCATTACAATTCGCAGACAATCCTACCGCTTTCACAAACGCCTACTTTCAATTCTCGTCCATCAATGTCTACACGTAGACCATCAAAGGAATGCTATAAAATAATTTTTTACACAAAATTCCATCTTGTTGTACATAAACCAGATGCCAAAGGATATGTACCTTGTCATCTTATTACGCAAATCAGCCAGGGGTGTCATTAGCTGAGCCAGCGCTCATCTTATGTAATTGTCAATATGCGTTATCTAATGCCTGAACACATGATGCTGAAGAACCGGTCTTTGTATAAAACAGGTATGAAATCATCGCGTGAGAGGAATCAACGGGGATGACATGGATCAATGAGTTTCAAAGTTAAGAAGTATTGCTTCCTTGGCAATCACCGAAGGACACCCCTGTCCAGTGTTTACACATACCGCTTCTTCCCTCTAAAATCCTCATATCGGTCTGCTTTAGGCATTCTCCCGAACTTCGGCTCCGTAGTTTCTGGAAAGGACGTGAGTTCTATTCTTGAAGAAGAAAAAAGACTTTTCGAAACTCACTGAGTATGTCCTTGTAAACCGCGGGAACTCCTTCACTCCAAATCTCTCGCCACATGTGAGCACCTCCACCAACATTCTTATCTAGACCATGCTTTTCCATAAATGCTCTTACGTCAAAGCCTGCACGCTTGTCCTTCGCAACCATATGAATAGATAGACGGGAGTGTTGGGGGAGGAGTAGAATGGTATAGCGGTGATACGTAGTCCCACGTTGCGGGTGAGGTGGTATATAGGCAGTATGGGTGTTCAGGTTTGGCACTGGGGAGGGAGAAACGCTCGAAAGAGGGATATTCGGTCTGAATAGATGTCAGTCAACGAAATGAAAGGGAAGCCTATTGCTCACTGGAGCCAATGCAGATACGTCTGGAATGTTTTATTGGTCTCATCAGGAAAATCTGTTACTGGTGTCAGTGCCATTTACCTGTAGTTTGATACCGACTGACCCGGATCAATCATCAAAAGAGTGTATAGTCGCTCCTCTGGATGAAAAACGGTTGCATATATCTTAGGAGGCTCTACAGTCTTGAGACATTGTCAGCAGAATGGCTGCGCGAATGACCTGCATAACATACCTGTTCTGGAAGAAGAAATACTCCTGGTTCAACGCGGCCGTACACGGTCTTTGACACAGTCGCCTGAAGCCCTGTATTCGACTTTACTTTTGGAAAATTGACCCGGAGGTCCAACGAGGGATGAAGATCAGGCAAAACGTCGGGGACAATCTTCATCTGGTGAATACGTTCCATCTACAAATTATAAGATTGAGAAACATTACCGAACAGCTCGATGCATACTTACCAACAGATCTAATGCACCCTCTTTCCTCCACCGCTGCTCCAAAAGATGCCTGTCGACGGCTTTGGACATGTCCGCTGAGGGACTGTGAACATGATGCAACGTCCAGTCAGGGACTTGCTTACCCATTCCATTGGCACATTTCCACCTCACTTGGGGAAAATTTATCTCGCTCTGCACTTCTAGAATTCTCAGCTTATCCTCCAGCACGCGCAACGCATGCTGGTCAGACTGAGGTGTCTCCTTTTCACGCGCAATGGTTCCCTCCAAAGCCGTTATTTCATCCTTGAGCGCTATTGAATCCTCTTTGATAATCTTCAGTGCTTCATCGAATGCAGGAAGGACACCGAATGCGAGAGGCCTATTCCATTCACGCGGATGTTGCAGCGAAATTCTAGGCCGGCGTGCTCTAATTGCACGAGACTGATACTTTTGCGGTGCACCGGGTTCTGCGGATGACTGAGACTGCGAGCCGTCAGTGTCTATAGCTGTCGACGTGAAAGCCACTTGTTTTGTTGTACTTCGTCGCGTAAAACCAAGGGCTCGGGGTTGAACACGACGTAGGGCTAGCATTACGACGGGATTAGCCAGCCTACTCCTTCGAAGAGAGGGAAACGAAGGTTTCTATTTAAAAGTTGTAAAATTCTCCAAGTGTAATTCCAAGAAAGGAAATTCCAGGAAAGCTTTACTTAGATGCGCACGGACTCCCTAGGGGAATACTTAGTGATAAATCGAATGAATAGCAAGAGTGTATACAAATTGTATGTATAGTGTATCAATCAAGCAATGGTATCGTAGATGCAGTGAGATATAGACGGGCGATATGATAAATAAACAACAAGTAGGTTAGTATGGAGAAATGAACCATAAGATTACGTATAAACAAAAGGAAACAATTATGCACGATGAAGGAACACAGCTGACGCGATATACACATCGGTAACAAAAACAGACAACCTAGAAAGTGGAAAAACACAAAGCAGTGCGGGCAAGACTAGCCGCGACCCGGTCCTGCCGGAATCGATATTGAAAGTCTGTAACTCGACTCAATATGGAGCGCACGGATAACAGACTGACACAAACCTCCATCTCGCACAACAGGATTCTGACAGCGACGGCGTTCTTCTTGTTCTTCTCGTTCCATTTCAATTTCGTATGGTGCCTTGTATCCAGGTATCCGGATACCGATCTTCGGAGGTGAATGTTTGGGTTCCCAGCGACCGCCGCCTGTTGCTTTACAAATGATGCTAGACCTCCGTAGCGGGTATGCGTCTAGTTCGCCGTATGATGGTTGTGGGACCTCAAATTCAGTAGGAGATAAGATAGAAGTGGGTAATGGAATATGTCCGGGGCTGAAATGAGATGAACTTCGGACAACACGAACCGGTCGAGAGGGGGGTGCTGGGCTGTCCACAGGAGATGCACAAACAGACGAATTGGGAGAAGGAGCTCTAGAATCTACCGGAGACTTGACAAGCATAGGAGTGGATGGGGTACGGTCTGGAGTGCGAGGCGAATTACAGCCATGGATCTGGTCCCAACAGTCATCGCAGACCTTCTTCACGAGAACTGGTGACGTTGGACTATCGTAATTGGAGATAGGCACGTTCCGCGGAGGATGAAGGAAATCAAGATTGGAAACGTCAAGTAAATGTGTCGAACGGGTGGTGCACTGGTGGCAAAAAACGCCACCGCACTTTCTGCAATGCTGTCACGTACAATTAACGTTCTAATCTAACTAATAAGATGTAAAATTCGAGCTCACATGACGCCGTTCAAGGACCGAGAACTTGATGTGGCAATAAAAATTGTCACATGTATTAGCGAGAGAATCAGGCTGAGTACGGTAAGATCAGTATACTGGGCAACGGAGTGTCAGCATTGGACTGCACCTTCCAGAGACTCCTTGGCAATAAGACTGCCAGATGCTCATTGGTGCGTGGGGGCAAGGCGAGATAGAGGCGGGAGTCTGATGTTGGGGAAGAGCCTTTACAAAATCTGTCAGAAAAAAACCCAGCATATTTCTCCCGACAGTACTTAATACCTTCGGCTAGAGAGGATGCGTCAGAGGAGCATTCTGACTCATTAGAAGTTAATGAGCCAGCGTAGGCCATCGTAGATTGTGCTTTGGCAGCAAGGTTGGCCAGTACAGTAGCAACTTGAAGAACAGACATAGCGGAAGAAACTGTGGTGAAGAAAATAAGTGTCAAGCGTGCAGGCCGCAACACCGAGTTTATGTCTTCCGTTGCTACAAGTTATATCGAATCCCCATCATTGTCGTGGGAATATTTGGGAGACCGTTATTGCAACCGGCACTATTTCAAAAATTGGACTTTTCTAGTATGTTGTAATTAGCCGACCCTTGCAACAACCTTTGCTAGAGCCGCCCGAGGCCGCTCGACGGGCTTCTTGTCATTGGAGGATTCGGTGGAAACGAACAAAAAGCCAAATCGATTTTGTAACGTATATCAATGCCGCGGAGTTTTACGGAGTGTCGGGAAAATCCCTGGGAAATGGTTCGGCCGCTACACATGCCACAGGGCCGAATATTGCATTGTCAAATTTCAACTTATCTGCGATTTACTGTCATTCACGTCGTAAGAAGGTTTTACACCTCGACAGATTTAAGGGTGAGCGCCTCAACATGTAAGGAAAGACAATGGGTTCATACAGTAACGTAAAGTAGTGTATGTTTCCAATAAACACAGTGGGTGTGGCAAGTAGGATAAAATCAAAAGCAGCTAAAGTTGAAAGCAGTACATACGATCTCACGAAAGCATAAGCGAATGATCAACTACGACGTCCTCCTCTCGCGCTGTCAAAATGTTCGTTCAGAAACCGTCCGCCGCCTGGCCCACGTCGCAAATTCTTCGCAGCTAGTGGAGATTCTGCGAGACGCCCGACAGGGGCGAAATTACGACCAATTGGTGTGATGTCAGGGCCAGAGGAGAGATGGGTAATTGGAAGTTGCGAATCATCTGCACCTCCCAACAAATGATGTCCAGAACGACGGTTTGACATGCCCTCGCCAGGTCTAGTGGGCGTGTGGAACAACTCAGGACCGCGTCCCTGCCAAAAATTATTCTTTGGTGTTGCAAAGGGAGCGCCAAACTTGATACCGCGTGAAGGTGTCGATGTTGGATCAAATGGAGATTCGTCAGCCATGAATAGCTCAGCACAACCTGGCGTCGTTGTGTACACACGAACACTTCGAGAGGAAAGTTGCGGTGTCTGTGGACCAGGCTGGGAAGATGCTTCATCCCAGGAAGAACCAGAGGAAAAATAAGGGCCCGCCCTTCGGCCAGGTGGGGTCATGGGTGGACGTGGAGAGCTGCTCCATGGGACTGCTGGCGAAGGGTTAAGGCCCGGGTGAAAGAAGGGTGGGTCGTAGCTTTTGTCATGCCTCAGTTTCTCTTCAGTTGGCACGAACGTCGGCTCGAATGACGGTAAGATATCTGGAGGGGGTGTTTTGGCACAACTGCCACAAAACCAGGGATCTTCCTCCTTGCCCAAGTCTGCAACACTTCGAATGCCAATGCATTGTAGATGGTACCAAGTATGACATTCGTCACATTGAACCAATTCTCGGCCATCATCACTACCTCGACAAATACAAACAATTTCATCATCAATGTCATCGTCGGTGGATTTACGCTGCGCTCGTCGAAACGAGAACTGTCTGATCGATCGCTTCGACAGCAATGCGGTTCTGGCATCAGCTGGATCGCTTGGAACAACGGATACCGTGGTTGGACCACAATCTCGATTCTGTGAACGAGCGAAAAGAGGGTACATTTTGCCCCTACCGCTACCGAACCTGGAACGCGCTGTTTGATTCTGAAACAAGCTTTCTTCATCGTCTTCATCATCCGAATCACGGTTTAGAAAATTTTCGATGTACCGCAAGCGTTGTTCCTCCTTCATTTTGGAAAAATCGCTGCACTGCTCCGAACGTAAGCGCCATGGAAATTGTGTGTCCGGCCAGTTCGGAACATCAACATTTGCTTCCAGCTGCAAAGGGAAAGTACTTTGATCCTTTGATTCATCCATAGAAGGTGTCTTCTTTTTCTTTCGGTAACGTCTCTTCTTCGATGGGCTTAGTTTATTTGGACTGGGTGGATCAGAGGGTCCAATATCCATCAAGACTCTGCCATATCCTTCCACGTCAACTGGAGCTAGCTTTGACCGTGAAGGAACATGGGAGGAACTTCGGAATGCAGATAATCTGTTCTGTTGGCGAAGCTCCTGCTCGCTGACCAAAGGAAGTGCTTCAAGTTCTCCAGAAGCATCCGGGTCCACAGGATCCCCAGATCGCTGCAAGTCCGTACGCTGAATAGTGAAGTAGTAGGGGAGTCAGCATGCTCGCCGAGGCCAGCTGGAACCGGTACATACATAACGATCGTACCCTCCTGCCATCAAACTTTCTTCAAAGCTTTCGTCAGAGGTTTGCTGGAATAACATCAAACGCCGGCCTTTGATAGGACTTTCCGTTACTCCGATCGTTGCAGTTGCCCGTTGTCCTTCTATGCCGTCTACATCAAGAGGGGGCGGTGACTCTATACGCTTCGCACGCTTGAGGTAGTCAGGCCTCCGTGCCTCCGCTTCTCGTGTGAGGCTGATCTGATTCTCTAATAACTGTGCACGGATCCGAGCCATCTCCCCTCCGACCTCTTCGCTAAGCTCCTGTGATGCAGAAGGTGGTAATGAAATGCTGTTAGACGGAGGTAGGAAGTCAGCAGATGAAGCTTGTGATGCTGGACGTTTTCTATTTTGAGTGGTATTCATGACCTCCATTGATTGTTGTGTAGCCGCACTGCATGTGTTATCTTGCGCAACACAGATGCGAAGACTGGGAGAATGTTCTTCTGTGCCCCCGACGGATCCATTTGCGGAACTATAAAAGTGCTGAGTATTACAACGTGGTCAACATTTGTGAATAGACCAACCCTGTGGGCGGCATTCTTCTTGTAATCCGAGGGGGCGAGTGACTAATGGGATTAAGCAACATTCATGAGAGACCGATAAGGTGTACATACCTTCTCTCGTCGTTCTTTCCGTGAGGTCCGTTTGCACGGGAACGAATAGCAAGTGGGCTGAAACTCAACATAATGACTCTGCACATGAGACCAAATCAATTCATACCTAGAATCCGGTGTGATCATTTTATGGGGCCTAAATGTCGGAGATGAATCAGCATGATACCTGCATCAAATATCTAGTTCATATTGAATTAAGCCAGTCAGTCACACTCACGAGATGGATCTGGAATCTGTTGGCATGATGTCCTCCAGCAAGCTGTACCACAGAATTACTCCTACTTTGTTTCCTTTAGAAAGTTAAACGTAATACTCACATTTGACTTTTGGGAGTAATATTGCGTGAACTCGATTGCCCGTATACACCAAGATTACTGGGGCTGGAAGAAGAATAAAGTTAGTGTCATGGACGCGGGTATCAAGTTTTCTTGAGTGAGTAAAAATGAAAGATTTGCAGATTTGCAAATGCCACTCGCGACAGTGAACAGATAGGGTAGATTATCAAAGCGGACATGCTCACCTCAGCGGCGTAGGAAGATGTACATGTTGACTTGAAAAGGGAGGTAGCAAGCCATTTACGGGCCTTGTTGGACTATCATATGTGTCAAATCACGTATCCGTACTCGTATGTACCATGTACTCACCTAGCATCATCTGATGATGCATGCCCCCTCTCTGTATACTCATTCGTTGGACCAGGGGTTTGGTGGCATGTGAGATGCGAGGGCCACATTGTTTCTGTCATATCTGGCGTCCTCAGCACGCTCGGCTGCGATATACTACTTCCTGTCACAGGAGGTGCGACCTCGTTGCTCGTTTTTACGAATTTGTCAGACATGGCCATGGGACTGTGGCTGCGGCTACCTCAGGGATACACCAAGGATCGGAAACAGCAGCAAGAGCTGTGAGAGATAGATCAAGCTATCAATATTCGGCAGACTCTTTCTTTTGTCTTGACTAGCCCTTCACAACTGAATTGAGGAAAGATTGAAGGTGAACTTGAAGACAAATGAGTTTATCTTCTAATTAGTTTGCAACCTCGACGATTACATAACCACAGGTTGATCCGAAAATGATGCATTTGAGTCAATTGACACTTCAATTTCACTGTGATCAGCTCTTCTAGAGAGACTTCAACTTCATGCCCGTGCGCGCCATTGAATTCTATAGTGGCATAGGTGATTATGGACATCAATATTTGCGATCGAGCTGTTCTTAAAGTCACATATTAGGTGGCCTACATCTCGCACTTCGCCGAAGTCGTGTAGCGTGTTCGCTTGTGAAAGCGTTTGACTGGGATCAGACTGCATGCCAGGTTTATGCAGCTAACTATGACGCCAAATTAATAATCAGGGTAGGTCGATCTTTGATACATGATTGTCTGCCATTGACCTGTGCGACGTCGTGTATCCCTTTCATAGAGAGACATATCAACCCTTTCTGCGGTAGATCTTTTATATCTGCATGCCGACGTTTGGCTCCTATCCCCACCGTGCCAACCTTATACCATTCTGAACACTGCTGCTAGAGGAGAGGCTGATCCCAGAGCAAAGTCGTTTCTTCATTTGATCAACCATGTTTTGCCGGATCTCACTGCCCAGGACTTGCAGCCTCGCTACATACTCATCGAGAATGTAGCAAGCTTCCAGGTCAGTCGACCTCATCCCATGTCATACATTGTTCAATATTGACGTATCATTGTCAAGGACTCGATGACAAGGAGACATTTAGTCGATTCCCTCCAACGGCTCGGCTACGTTGTTGCTGAATTTCTTCTCACTCCTATACAGTTTGGTATCCCGAATTCGCGATTGAGATACTACCTTCTCGCGAAATTATCCCCCCTCCGGTTCTCTGGCCTTCAGGAATCTCACTTCGATCGAGTCCACGAGACGATACCAGGAACTGCATCAGACATTCCTGCACACTCGTTACATGAATATCTGGACCCTGCACATGAGGATGAAATTCCTATACGTCACAAAATCCACGATCGAGTACTTTCAAAGTGGGGTCGTTTGTTCGACATCGTACTGCCATCCAGTCAGCGGACCTGTTGTTTCACGAGGGGTTTGTTTGCTCTAGCACTGACTGTCTTATTTACCAATTTTACCCTAGGTTATACACAACTCGTTGAGCGTGCAGGTTCCATCCTTCAGGCGAATGAGGACCTTGATGTGAGTTTACAGTTGCAATGTGGAAACTTGAATTTTGGACTGAAGTAAGGCAGACCACCGAGGTCTTTGATAGGTTTCTTGAAGCTCAGTCGCGAGGAGCTGAAGACGCCGTTCGTATCCTAGATCAGTTGCACCTTCGGTATTTTACTCCTAGTGAACTCTTGAAGATATTTCGATTCGAGGAGCCAGAGTCCAACCAAGAGTTTCTGTGGCCACCTAATATATCTCTAAAATCACAGTACCGACTCATTGGCAATAGCGTCAATGTGGAAGTGAGTGAACGTTCTATGAGACAAGAAAAATTTGGCGATTTCCTATATAGGTCGTGCGGCGCCTTATTGATTATCTTTTTGATGGTGATGAATTTACGACGTGATTCTCCTCTCTTCCTCTTCTGTTCTACTTGCTTGATAGCAGCCTGGTTTCACCTTAGCCTTACTCGGCTAGAGCCCAGAGTCCATTAGGGAAACATAATTTGCTACCGAGCTTTGTAGCACCCTGTAACACTCTGTAGCACAATACGTCCGATGAGCCACAAAAATATGCCTTGGTTCTGCATCTGCAATCAGGCTGGTTAAGTTTCAGCTTCAAGGTCTAGTCCTCTGGCTTAGTGTACTATATTGAGGTGTCTGGTTTTACTTAGTCTGTGTCCAACCGCTCACATTTAAACGGCCGCGCCCGCCGCCATTCGAGTTCGTACCACATAGTGTGTGGTGTCTTGCTTTAAATGCTACCTGCCGTGGTGTAGCCAACATTAAGATTACGAAAATGTTATCCCTGATCATGAGAGCTTTTAATTCTTAAACGATGCCAGTGGATTTTTAGTCCCACGGTTACATAATATGTATGACGTATTCAGAATTCAAATGCTTTGCGAGGACCGGTTTCGGCCTCCACATTACCGGTCCTATATATATTTGCTTCCGCGATGTCAATAGCTTTTCGCACCCTTAGACGCGAACATCTTAACATGCCTCAGAGCAAGTTCCAGAGAACTTTTATCATTGGCTGTGGATGCACGGCATTTATAAAGGTCAATAATTCAATCTTGCCAGTCCTTACTAAGTATTCAATTCATTCGGTACGCAGCCCAGAGCGCAGAGGACAACGGAGGACGTAAGCAGAATCTATGATATACATGAAATGAACGTTTTCCAATTCCATTCATGTGTAGATGGGACTTGAAGCAGGCACAAAGGCGCTGCTCGATGCTGGTGAGTTATGCATATAGAGACAATTTGTTCAAAACCACAATTCGAACTTCCTAGGTATTACATATGATGCAGTACAAACTGCATTCGTGGGTTACTGCTACGGTGATTCTACAAGTGGTCAAGTATGGCACTCTTCAATTCAGTTTCACGATGCTAATTGGTGTAGCGAGCTCTTTATGGCCTTGGAATGACCGGGATTCCTATCACCAACCTGAATAATAATTGTTCAACCGGAAGTACTGCACTGTTCCATGCAAACAACGCTGTAAAGTCAGGCCTGGTTGACTGCGCCCTCGCGTTGGGCTTTGAGCGTATGGCGGCGGGTAGTCTCGGGAGCAACTTCCCTGACAGGCCATCACCGACCCTTTTGTTTAGCAAGCGAACCATAGCCCTCGAAAAGACTCTTGCTTCCGGAACAAACTTCGGTCCAGGTGCTCCGCGAATGTTTGGCAATGCAGGACAAGAATATATGGACAAATTCGGTGCCGAAGTCAAACACCTGGCCATGATAGGTATTATGCGGCCCTCGTACTAAACATGTGTGTTTAACGTATTCTAGCCGCAAAGAATCACGCGCACTCCGTCAAGAACCCATATTCGCAGTTCCGTAACGGATGGACAGTTGAACAAGTCTTACAGGCACCTAAAATCACCGCTCAACTCACGAAGTTCATGTGCAGTCCTACATCGGTAATAATATTCCCATTCTCACGTACTTGACACTCAACATGCATTAGGATGGTGCAGCCTGCTGTATCATCGCATCAGAAGACTTTGTGCATGCTCATGCATTGGAAAATCAAGCCATTGAAATTGTTGCACAAGGCCTCGAGACGGACGACCCTGCTGCGTATGATACTGAAAGCGCTATGGAGGTTGCTGGCTACGGGATGTCGAAGCGATGTGCTGACAAAGTATTCAAAGACGCTGGCTTTGCCGACGGTGAAGGGCGTGACTTGGTTGGCGTGGTTGAGCTGCATGATTGTTTTTCTGCAAACGAAGTAAGTCCGTCTTTCGTCACATGGTTTAGGGCATGACCCTCCCTTAGCTCATTACATATCCTGCCCTTGGACTTTGCGCCCCCGATGAGGCCCATAAGATGGTTGAAAGGGGCGATAATACGGTCAGAGTTTCCTCTTTCAGTTTCGCAGCAAATGAACCTTCCGTAGTACGGTGGCAAGTATGTTGTAAACCCGAGCGGCGGTCTTGAAGCCAAAGGACATCCACTCGGGGCTACTGGTCTGGGTATGCATTTCTATATAACAAGTGAGTAGCATTCGTTTATTGGCGATATTGTTCTAATGTCACTTCGGCAGTGCAATTGCGTGGATGTTCGTGTGGCAATCAATGTGTTCACTTTCGTGGTCTCCCTAATGTGATTAATATCTAGTGGCAGGACCTATGCAAGCACCTGGTTTATTCGACATTCCGGACAAGCGGGGCAAGTTTGGTCTCGTTCATAACATTGGTATTGGGGGTGCAGTGGTCGTTAGTCTACTCCGCAGGCCCGAGTTTTACAAAGCAGGGGGTATCGACGGCCAGACTAGGTAAGCACGCCCATATTTGAATATAGTTCACTAACCTGCACGGTATATCAGGCTAGGATACAATCATGCTCATGAATGCCGGCCTGTTACGCTTGCAGATGTCGACAAAGTTAAGTCGAAAAAATCATCGAAGTTTGTCCTTCAGCATGCGAAGCTTTGAAGAGCCTGTGATCTTCTTATTGTATCTTCATGTGCGGACGATCCGTTATCTAACATGATCCAATGGATTCTCGATGAAGTAGATGATATTTTGGTCGATGTCTATATATAAAGCAAACACTATAACTCCCTATAACTCCTTATCAGGGATCTGTAGTACTTACATAAGAAGCATTTCTGGACCGTATTCTGTCCTAAGTTCCTATTACACAGTGTATCACTCTAAACTCTCTTCAAATGCAAGCGGTACCAGCCAGCGCACTCAGCGCCCTTGCTGACCCTCCTGCTCGAATGGTCGATGGTGCAGCCATGGATTACTTGTTGATCGAAGCTGTGAATGCCCTTCGTGACTCATCAGCAGTCGCTTCTGCTCGAGCAAAAAAAATCGAGCGCGACATGGTCGACGCTGGGCTGGTTCCACCACCACTAACGACAAAACAACAGAATCCGAGAGACAGTGGTAGTAGCACATCAGGTAAGATATCAGGGCCTGGGGAGGAGGATGAGGGGGTGAGGTCCAGGCTGGAAACTATCGGTATGCACATTGGGGGTAACTTTGTGGAGAGGTGCGGTGTCTTAAAACCAGTTTCGTATCCTAATTGTCTCCAAGGCTTTGCCGTGACCGCCCACTGTTCAGCGACTCTCTAGACGTTATTAAGTTTGTCTGCAAAGATCTTTGGGTCTCTTGCTGGGAAAAACAAGTTGACAACTTGCGTACGAATCACAGAGTAAGAAATTGGTCCATGACTTCCAGGGATTTGCGTTGAAAAATTTGTAGGGTGTCTATGTTCTTCAAGATAACGCCTTTAAGCCAATTGCTCGAATTTCCTCATGGGAGGGTCGACAAGAAGCCCTCAAACGAGCCAAGCTGGTATGTTAACAGTTTGAAATGAGACTTCTTTATGCTTTGACGTGTGTCAAAGTATGTCGCACTTCCTGCTGGGATTATTCGAGGTGCATTGTCTCGAATCGGGTTTCAAGGGACGGTGGTTCCTGAAATTACCACTCTACCTCAGTGTACGCAATTTTTCGAATATCGTGGTGTGGCATATTGAGCTGACGGTCATCAATTAGGCACCTTCCAGATTAAGCTACCAAAAAACACATAAAACTATAGCACTATCTCAGCCTCAAGTTACACGTCAATTCACGGTAGCTCAAGTTGTGGAGTGGCTACTGAACGTTGAACTCGAATCCCATTGCTGAAAACTCAGTTAGACGGTTGAAGGTGTCGGGGTTATTAAGTGGTAAGATGGACAACAAGTATGCAATACGACTCAAAAGAAGGAAGGGGCCTTGCAGCAGTCGTCGAGTGTCCGGCTGCAAACTTCTCTCCACATTGCTCTCTTTCTACCGGATTGATTTTTTTTTCACGAAGGAGAACATCTGAAGTTGGTGATTCTCGGCCAAGATTCTTTTTGCAATTGAAAATGTATCAGAATCAGCATATTCTCCTTGCGAATGCAGGACTATCGGGACGGTGCACAAAGTGATGGCATGGCTGTCTTCACCCTTGGAATACGCCTCTCCGGTGGTCTTCTTCTTGTTTGACTTCAAACATAACTTCTTCCCAATGCAGGATGGCGAATGTAGTATCACGCATGACGGCATCTGTGGGACTTGTTCCACATTGATGCAATCTATGAAGATCCGTTGAGCTTGTTGAGGCAAAAGAAAAGGGCGCGGGAAGGGACTGCATTTAGCTCTCGCGGAAGTAGACGTGGATGGGGGTGTTGGAGACTTGGAGTCGGAGTGGGTGTCGGTGAAGTTCTATGTAAAGCTTTGAAGGTCGTTTGAACCAGTGTGAGTATCTTACGCAGGTGCAGCCTGCCGCAACTTAACTAGATATGGAAGCACATTCTATATTTAGCCATCTAGCTCGTAACTTCCGTCACTCAGCATCTTTTCATCTTATACTGGCGAGCAAGGATGGCCTCCGTAGAGATTGCAGAAGAAATACGCTCCATCTTCCCTGGTACAGAAGAACTCATCGTGCAGTATCTTTCTGGCTATCTGGTTGATGATGCTGGTGAAGAGGAAGATGTTCTCCAAGTGGCCAATGACATTCTGGATTCATTGGGTATGAATCATCCAGACGACGTCAAGAGGTTGATGGCACGTCTCCGGGATCTCCTTGCCGAGCAGCTGAGTGCACGGGCGAGAAATAGCGGTCGACCAAAGTTGATGAAGCTTGATAAAGTTATGGATATGAGCAAGGTCGGTGCTATGTCGAACACCATTGGGCTCGGAGAAGGCGTAGACCTCGAGAGCATCAATAAGGGAAAGTGAGCCTGTACCCTTGTGTCGTTATGCATGCCTTGAACTCAGCGATGTTTTTGCACAGAGCATCCAGGGTAGATGTAAAAAAGCTTGAGAAACAAGAAGCCAAACTGAAGGTAAGTATAAACAGCCTTCTGCGTCATACAGCCGTGATATAACGGCGGCTTTCAGGCCAAAATAGAGAAACGTGCTCGTCGTGACCTCTATGAAGGGTCCAAACTGCTGGATCAACACCGCAAGCAGGTTGGTTGAGATATTTAACTCTATCTACATCATTTTGATTACGGGTTTGCCAGCAAAATTATGAAGAGATGTTTATGAAGGTGATTCACTTGAGCTTGCTTTTTTCAACTTGATCATTCAACATCTTCTTTCAGATCAACCCCTTAGAAGCGGCAAATGCTGCCAAAAACAAGAGCAAAGATATACATCTGCCCTCAATTGACGTCAATTTTGGTTCCAATCGTATACTGTGCGTTTCACTTTCGATTTCCGTGATACTTGTTGTGAGGGATTCATTTAGATCAGGAGCAAGCCTTACATTAGCATATGGTCGTCGGTATGGGCTCATAGGACGCAATGGTAAGTTTCATAATTTATCACTTGTTGGTATGACTATACAACTTTATCAGGTGTCGGAAAGTCCACCCTTTTGAAGCATATCGCTATGCGGGAAGTACCTATTCCTGCGCATATTACCATATTGTTCGTGGAACAAGAGGTAAGTCACTGTTTTACATATGGGCCTGTGTGTGAACTAGGTATAGATTGTCGGGGATGATACAACCGCTCTCGATTCTGTTCTCAAAGCTGACGTTTGGAGAGATCACCTGTTGAAGGAGGAAGGTTCTTTGAATGCCCGCCTGGCTACGCTGGAAAAGGAAGGCGACGATAAACGGTTCGAGGATGCTAGGGAGGAGGCTTCGTCAAGATTGGCGGAAGTGCATGCTCGTTTAAGTGATATGGATGCCGAGAGTGGTCCTTCGAGGGCAGCCACTCTTCTCGCGGGTACGTCGATCTCTCTATGCCATATAATGCGTTATGATACGAAACCTCCAGGGCTGGGTTTCAGCGAGGCAGACCAATCTAAGCCTACAAGGACATTCAGTGGAGGTTGGAGGTGAGTAAAATCATTGGGACATGGCAGTGTCCGATATCTCGTATTCAGAATGCGACTTGCACTAGCACGTGCATTATTTGTGAAGGTACGCTGCTCAAGCCCTGATTGTTCAACAGAGCTCTGAAGCACGTGCAATGGATATAGCCTGCTCTTCTTTTGCTTGATGAACCTTCAAATCATATCGATCTCAATGCACTGGCTTGGCTGGAAGATTACCTTCAAACATGGCCCGGTACATTGCTTGTTGTGTTAGTTGAGTGGGTGTATGAGTTGATATTATCTTTCTCACGATTTCGACAGATCTCACGATCGTGCATTCTTGTCAGTGTGCAGCAATATTCATTTTACGCCTGAAATACAACTGTTTGCAGAGACGCTGTTGCGACTGATATCGTGCACCAGCACTCTGGTAGACTAGACTATTATAAAGGGTTCGTCTAGTTCAAGCCCAGACGGGTGTGCTTCCTAACAGCAGTCAATTCGCAGGAATTTCACCCAGTTCTATTCAACTAAGTCTGAACGAGACCGCAATATGCGAAAAGAATACGAAACACAAATGGATTATCGAAAACACCTCCAGGCTTTCATCGACAAATGGAGATATAATGCAGCCAGAGGTAGGAATCTGAAATCAGCGATTGCCATGATTTTTAACACGTTTTTGCTTAGCTTCGCAGGCCCAGATGAGAATCAAAATGTTGGAAAAGGTGGGTGTTTTGCCTAGCTTAGTTGAGACCCTTGACTGACCGTTTTGAAGCTCCCTGAGTTAGAACCTCCAGAGGAAGAAGAGGGTGAAACTTTCAAGTGACCACAAATCTTTCTCGTTCCCAGTGCAGCGAGTTGACATTCTAGCCACTAGATTCCCTGATGCAGAGAAGATATCGCCACCATTGCTCCAATTGTCTGAGGTCACCTTTGGGTATACGCCTGAAAACCTTCTCCTCCAAGGAATCAACATCGATGTAGGGTTGGATTCGCGAATAGCTATTGTTGGCGCGAACGGAGCTGGAAAATCAACCCTGTAAGTGGTACTAGTACGTGCCTCGAAGAACAATAATACAACTAAAAGTTGGTCGGGATACGTAGTATTAAACTCCTAACTGCAGAGCTAAGACCCTTGAGTGGCGACTTGAATCGGAATGGTCGTCTGCGAATGTGAGTCGTCACTGCATTTTATTGATCACCTGCTCACTTGCTTTGTAGAGGATATTTTTCGCAACATCATGTTGACACACTCGATCCTACTATGTCTCCTGTACAGTTCCTGGCCTCTAAATTCCCAGGAAAGACAGAACAAGAATATCGAGGCCACCTAGGGAACTTCCAGATTAGTGGAATGACAGGGTACGCAAATTTCTTGTGACCTGCTTGCAGTTTTTCATAAGGACAACAGGCTCCAGCTTATTGGCACGCTTTCTGGGGGTCAGAAGTCTCGTGTCGCGTTTGCTGCCTTATCATTGCAAAATCCTCATATATTGTTATTGGACGAGGCGAGTACAGAAGATTATAGTTTATGATTTCTGCTGATGCCTGCCAGCCTACTAACCACCTGGATATTGAGGTACAGTACATACCAATATTTCTATTTCTTCACTTTTACTGACCGTTCAATGAAGGGTCTGGATGCGCTGATGGCGGCGTTGAGTACTTGGAATGGCGGAGTGATCGTTATCTCTCACGATGAGCGATTCATCACCACAGTTGCAAAGGAGGTAAGCACGCGCAAATTGGTGTATATTGGCTGCTCTCTAAGTCTATCTAGCTGTGGGTGTGCGCTGATCGTGCAGTGACCAAGTTCAAGGGTGATGTACAAGCATATAAGGTTTGCATAGTATCGTGTAGGCGACGGTCATGCACTGATATTCTGGTCACAGAGCATCATTGTCAACAACATCAAAGCACGACCGTGATGGTAAATTGTGTATGTAGTATGGGGATCCCGATCAGTCATCACTACATGTCGCTTAATCTGCCCGAGATATGAGATGAAGTGCAGTCCTTGAGTGTCAGTCCAGAGTCGCGCATTTCACTTGGCTTATGTACGAATCGGTCAACTGTTCCTTATGTAAAGTCACAAAATTTGCGGGTGTATTCTATTTTCCACTTTTAATATTTCCCCCAACCCGAGATTCTTCCTTATCAAAAAATAGATGAGTTTGTGGTGCAGTCGTCACGTGCTGACGCGTTTGGCAGAAGCCGTGACGCGACCGCGTTTTGTTCCTATTAGCGTTGGCTTCATCCATCATCAACGGTTGCGAGTGGGCGATTTATTTTCCACAATGAGCTCTTCAGAAGGGGAGAGTTTCGACCTCGAAAATGTCTCAGGTACAGAGAGCGAGGACTACGCTCCACCCGTCAAAAAGACAGTGAGTCGTGTTTGATAAATTGTCAAAAGCGCGACTCAGTGCCACTTTGCAGACAAAAGCACCAGCAAAGAAGACCGTCCCGACGAAATCTACATCAAAACCATCACAACCTCCTGCGAAACCCAAGGCTGTACCTAAGAAGAACGTACTAGTGGATAAAGACGACAATGCTGACCGCAGCGCAATGGACGTCGATGAAGTTGTTGATTCAGGCGATGAGAGTGCAGGGTCATCCAAACCGAAGGCACCAGCCCCGCCAAAGAAGAATAAGACAGCATCAGAAACTTACACCAAAGTACGCATGCTGGAACGTTAGCAATCCGTTGCTAACAACAAAAAACCTGGCAGTTATCTCAACTGGAGCATATTTTAAAACGCCCTGATTCCTACATTGGAAGCGTTGAGACAATTACGGTGCCCATGTGGACGTATGATTCGGAGAACAAGCGCATGGTTCATAGAGAGGTCAAATATGTCCCGGGTTTCTTCAAGATTGTGGACGAAATTCTTGTCAACGCTGCAGATAACAAGGTGTGGTGCGCGACTCTAGTGTATTACTTATCATGCTAACTGACTGCCATAGATCAACGACCCTAGCATGGATACCATTAAAGTGAACATTGACGTCGAACTGGGTATCATCTCTGTCTACAACAATGGCAAGGGCATTCCTATCGAAATGCACTCGCGAGAAAAAATGTACATCCCTGAGTTGATCTTTGGTCACTTGCTCTCCTCTTCCAATTATGATGACGACGAGAAGAAGCTCACTGGTGGCCGTAATGGTTACGGTGCCAAGCTTGCCAACATATATTCCCATGAATTCACCGTCGAGACTGCAGACAAAAACAGCAGCCAGAAATACAAGCAGACATGGACGAACAATATGAGCAAGGTCGGCGCTGGAAAGATCACCAAGAACGGAAAGGGCGAGGAGTACACGAAGGTCACCTTTAGGCCGGACTTGAAGCGTTTTGGCATGCAGACTATCGACGAAGATACCTTATCTTTACTCAAGCGTCGCGTGTATGATCTTGCGGGCACGGTCAAGGACGTGAAGGTTTTCCTGAACGACGAACGTCTAAAGATCAAGAACTTCAAGCAGTACGTCGAGTTGTACCTCAACTCTGCTGCGGCAGAGGCTGCAGAGGCATCAGGAGGGGCTGCGCAGGGAAAGCCAGCCATGATATATGAGCAGATTGGCTCGCGGTGGGAGGTAGCGTTCGCCGTATCAGATGGCACATTCCAGCAGGTCTCCTTCGCCAACTCCATCGCAACCACGAAGGGCGGTACGCATGTCAATCACATGGCAGACCAGATTGCGAAGAACGTCATCGCTGCCATCGGAAAGAAAAACAAAGGCGCGACAGTGAAGCCTGCACAGATTAAGAACCACATGTGGATCTTTGTCAACGCTCTCATAGAAAACCCGACATTCGACAGTCAAACGAAGGAGACGTTGACATTGACTGCCTCTAAGTTCGGCACAAAGCCTACATTGTCCGAAGAGTTCATGAAGAAAGGTACGTATCTCGTGGAGTTGCATGTTTTGAACTCTCATCCTTGTTCAGTTCAAAAATCAACGATTATTGATCACGTTCTTAACTGGGCAAAGTTCAAGGCTGACCAGCAGATCAAGAAAACTGATGGAAGCAAGCGTAATAGGTGAGAGGTTTTGTACAAACAATATTGATCTAACGATGTCACGCAGATTGACTGGAATGACGAAACTCGCCGACGCAAACAACGCAGGCACGAAACACGCTGAAAAATGTACACTAATCTTAACCGAGGGTGACTCTGCGAAAGCTTTGGCTGTGGCCGGACTGGGTGTTGTTGGTCGTGACAATTTCGGCGTCTTCCCGCTCCGTGGAAAGCTGCTCAACGTCAGGGAAGCGAAGCATGACCAGATCATGAAGAACGAAGAAATACAGAACATCAAGAAGATTATGGGTCTCCAACACAACAAGGAATACGGCAATGTCAGCAGTTTGCGCTATGGACGCTTGATGATCATGACGGATCAGGTCGGTCCTCTTATGGAATCGATCTCTAATAAGCAAGCTAACACTTTGCACGCAGGATCATGATGGATCTCACATCAAGGGTCTGCTTATCAATTTCTTGGATCATTTCTACCCGTCGTTATTGAAGTTGCCGAACTTCTTAGTTGAGTTCGTGACACCTATCGTGAGGGTACGCGACCTTCTTTTGGGATGTTTCCGTCTGCTCATGTGTGCGAAGGTAACGAAAGGGAATCAACGGATAGATTTCTTCACTATCCCAGAGTACGAGCAGTGGCTGGAGGATACCCCCGATGCTCACAAGTGGGACTCGAAGTACTACAAGGTCTCTTCTACTTTCATGGCAATTTCTGCCCTTCTTAAACATGATTTAGGGTCTTGGAACAAGCAAAGACTCCGACGCTCGCTATTACTTCAGCAACATGGCTAAGCACATGATCCCTTTTGCAACAACACAAGATGGCGACAGGGCACTAATTGACCTTGCTTTCAGCAAGAAGAAAGCTGATGATCGAAAGGAATGGCTCCGCCAGTTCAAGGTGAATGAGCATCTAAGAGCATACTATCATATACTCATCCGTGCCGCATAGCCTGGGACATACCTCGACCACAACATGGACGAGATTCCCTACTCAGATTTCATTAACCGAGAGTTGATCCTGTTTTCTATGGCAGATAACATTCGTTCTATACCGTCAGTAGCGGATGGCCTCAAACCCGGCCAGCGCAAAGTCATCTGGGGTTGCTTCAAGCGTAAGCTGAAGAAGGAAATCAAGGTATGTACACCGTTCCACACACTCAGTAAACTCTAATTGTCCATCTAGGTTGCGCAACTTGTAGGTTATATATCTGAGGTTGCTGCATACCATCACGGTGAAGCGAGTTTGACTATGACCATTGTGAACTTGGCCCAGGACTACGTTGGTAGCAATAACTTGAACTTGCTCCTGCCCAATGGTCAGTACGGTACGCGCGACCAGGGCGGTAAGGACCATGCTTCGGCTCGTTATATCTTTACCGAGCTATCTGCTTTGAGCCGCGCTGTCTTCAACCCCGCAGATGCTCCCTTGTTGACGTACCTGAAAGAAGACAGTGACTGGATTGAACCCGAGTACTATATGCCTGTTATCCCGCTCATTCTGGTGAACGGCGCTGAGGGCATTGGAACTGGTATGCAGATCAATTAAATATTTTCAGCGATCTTACTATTTATCAGGTTGGAGCACGACAATTCCCTGCTACAACCCTGTTGATATCGTGGATAATCTGCGTCGCTTGATGGCGGGCGAAGATATGGTCACGATGTTGCCTTGGTGGCGTGGCTTCAAAGGCACAATTAAGAAAGTTGGTGACCACAAGTACGACGTCACTGGTATCGTCCGCAAAATCAATGACACCACCGTCGAGGTTACAGAGCTCCCGATTCACAAGTGGACTCAAAGCTACAAGGCTGAGCTCGAGGCTATGATTGGTGAGAAAGGTGACGGCGTTATCAAGGTGGTCACAAATTTAGGCGTCGTCTTGTTTTTTCATTAAAGTATAAGCCAACAGGACTACAAGGAACACCACGATAATGTGAACATTCACTTCGTGATTAGCATGGCTGCGAAGGACCTAGAGAAGGCTGAAGAACAGGGTCTCACAGAGTTCTTCAAGCTCACGTCCAAGATCAATACGAGCAACATGATGGCGTTCAATTTTGAGGGGAAGATCCAGAAGTACGCATCTCCTGAGGAGGTCATTGAGGAGTTTTACCCGCAAAGGCTTGCATATTACCAGAAGCGAAAGGCAAGTAATTCATGGGAATTTAGGGGTTTGAAATGCTTATGTTCTTTTGTTACGCAGGAATACCTTGCGAATGAACTGCAAATACAATTCGAGCGCCTCTCGAACCAGGCACGGTTCGTGAAGATGATTGTGGACAAAGAGCTTGTCGTGTCAAATCGGAAGAAGAACGACCTTATGGCTGAGCTGCGCAGGCTGAAGTTCCGACCATTTCCCAAAGTGACGAAGGCCAAAGCTGCTGGCGAGACAGAGGATGTTGTCCAGCCCGAAGATGAAGAGGATGAGGCAGAAGAGATTGTCAAAGATGTTGGAACTACCGACTATGACTACTTGCTTGGTATGGCCATCTGGAGCTTGACGAAGGAGAAGGTGTGATTCCCAGTGTCTTCGTTGATTTTCACTCTGAACATTATCTAGATCGAAAAACTCATGCAACAAGCGGCAGACAAGGATGCTGAACTTCTTGCTCTTCTCGAGCGCAAGCCCAATGATCTCTGGAATGAGGACCTGGATACTTTCCTGAAGGAGTGGGAAGTGAGTTCACCTTGTTGTTGCCTAGAACATGAGATGAAGTGTTCCATATCAGAAATCATGTCAAGAGTTTGAGAATAAGTCCTTACTCGATGCCAACGGTAAGAAGATCAAGAAGAAGCAAGCAACGCTCGAACATCGTAAATCGTTAACTGGGCGGAAGAAGGTGAAGGCAGACTCTGATTCAGAGTTCGATATGGTCTCAGCTACACAAGCGAAGGGCAAGGGCAAAGCTAAAGCCAGAGCAAAGGAAGAACCTCCCAAACGGAAAAGGTAGCCTTTTTTTCAGCAAAAGGAATTAATCAGTAACCATTTATTTAGTCT